TTTTCTTTTCTTATTTCTTTGATCTTTGGATAAATAACACTAACTTCCTTCATATTTTTGTTTTAGCTATTTGGAGCTCTTAGAAACTCAATTTTTCAATCTAACTAAGAATCATCAGGAACCTACATAAACTCTCAAATGGAGCACATCCGGATGCGGAACGAAGACCCTCTAACCCCCGCAATGCGGTGAAATCTTTTCTAGTTTATAAGTAAAAACAAAAAACATAATGCAAAGGATTCCTAATTTATATAGAAATATACTATTAAATGGTAACTATAGTTGCATAGGGACTAGGAAGTACTATTAAATATTCATTTTGAAATACATTTTAGACATTTCAAATTTTTAATAAATGTAAAAAAAATTACTTGTTTTAAGCTTTCTACTATTCAGATTATGCTTAGTAGTCTTATGCCATTGATTCAACACAAAACACACAAATACACTTCAACGATAAGTACATTGCAAACAAATATTTATGAGAAATGAGCATTGAACCTTTTTACCAAAATAAAAATAAAAAAGTTATATCCTTAGGATGAGATTTTTTTTTTTTTTTTTTTTTTTTTTCATATCTATATTATCTTGAGGAACTTGATTACATTTACAAAAGTTATTTGTAAAAGGAAAAAAGTTTAACATGCTTAATTGTAAAGAAAACAAACGTTTCTTTGTTCTTAAATTCACAAACAAGCAAAAGGTAACGTTTTGATTAGGATGCCTTTCTAATCGAGACACAAAAACACACACAGATCAACCATTTTTAAAATCACCATTATAACTTGGAAAGGTGTATTAAATTATCAAATATTCATATCAGACTCCGATTTACCACTCGAGAATGTGGACGGACGATTCACAGCACCTACATTGTCAGTATATTCCTTCCCGACGGCCGGTTTCCTCTTCCATAACCACCACTTCTAGAGACAGAATCAAGCTTCTGTAAACAAATTCAACCAAAAGATTCAATCGTTGGTGTCGATTTAGCCAGGAGATGCAAAACTCAACTCAATCATCATCCACCACCACCACCACTCTTTACATCATCTTAACCATCACCACCTTTCTCTTTCTTCTTTTCTTCCTTTCCCCATTCCCATCCTCACCACCACCGCCGTCCTTCTCCGACCCATACCTATTCCCCCACCGTCCATCCACCGCCCAATACCACAACCACCAACTTCTCTTCCTCAACAACAACAAAACCACTAACCAATCTCCCCCCGCTTCACCCACCATCGCCTATTTCATATCCGGATCCTCCAACGATTCGGCTCGGATCATCCGACTCCTTTTGTCTATCTACCATCCGAGAAACCAATATCTTCTTCATCTCGACCGTTCTGCCCCTCAAAAAGAACGCGACTTTTTAGCCCTATCCGTTCAATCAATTCCGGTGTTTTGGGCTGCTCAAAATGTTAATGTTATAGGGAAATCTGATCTCGTTTCTCCTAAAGGATCTTCTTCAATTTCTTCCACTTTACATGGAGCTGCTATTCTTTTGAAGCTTTGCCCTGATTGGGATTGGTTTATTAATCTCTCTGCTGCTGATTACCCGCTTGTTACGCAAGATGGTAATCTTCAATTTTGCATATTTTACTTCAATTAGTTTGTTTCTCACCCACTTTTTTACATACTCTTAACTGCTAAATTTCATTTTTCTAGGGTTTATCTGTTTCAAGTAACATTGTCTTGGACTCGTTATTTATTGTTGGTTTTTTAAAGCTTTTCCACAATATATCCATCTTCCATTGATTATAATTTGGGGGTATTCTCTGTTCTTCCATAATATTTAATTAGAATTGATTTGGAGCCCTGATGGAGTTCCATTTTTGACCTACCCGAACTACTTTAACTTAAAAGACTTCTTGTTGTGGTTATTGTTGCAAAGTCCAATTCACAGAGTGTAAATCTTGTTAGGAAGTATCTATCTTGAATTGATTTTAGTTTGTGGGTTTAATTGGTGATTTGGTTGCAACGTTTCATTTTCGTTTTTTTGAATATGTCTTTGTTTTTGGCTAAACTACTTTTGAATATGCTTATCTTCAAATCTAGGGAACTACCAAAAAGTAGAGTAACATTACTTATATACCCGTATGCTTATCTTCATCTTATCTTGTGCATAATCACCTTTAAAAGTTATCTGATTATTCTTGACATAATCACTTTCAGATCTTCTTCACATTCTGTCATATCTACCTAAAGATCTTAACTTTGTGAATCACACAAGCTACATCGGATGGAAAGAGTATGAAATGATCACTTTTACCTAATATTTACACATGTTTGAATAGCAATTATGGAGTTCAATAATATGTATTTTCCTTCTTTTTGTTGTTAACATTAACAGGTCACGAATTTTAAAACCTGTGGTGGTTGACCCGAGTCTTTTTCTTGTTGAGCAAAGTGAGGTCTTTTATGGCACTCAAAGAAGGCCATTGCCAGATGCTTATCGATTGTTCACAGGTATGTTATCAAGAAATAACAATTTACTTTCATTGATTATGTTTGTTATAGCATCTTATTTCTATTTCATTTTATTACAATAATTGTTTTTGTACACATTCAGTCCTTATGACCAACTATTCCAAGTTAAGTTCTCACTTTGTACAAATATAGTCATTAATGTTTTTTTTTTTACAAAATAAGTCCTTGTTGTTTTTGTACACATGAGCAAAACCTAAAGAAAACCGGTCATAAGGATTGAATGTGTACAAAAACAACAATGACTTGTTTTGCAACAAAAAAATATTAAGGATTAAATGTGTACAAACAGAGAACTTAACTTGGAGTAGCTAGTCATAAGTACTGAATGTGTAGAAAACAAGTTAAAAGGCTTATTTTACAAGAAAACAAGAATAAGGACTAATTTTGTACAAAATGAGAACTATATTACCCTTTTAGGTCGTTTCCCATTTCGTTATTAGGGGATTTTACTTTGAAAAGTTACCTAAGATGATGTAATAAACAAATTAATGAAAGTATGTTGATATATCTTGCATTTAACCCAATGAAAGAAAATCATGAACTAAAAACATACTCTCATTATTTATCTATGTATTATAGCATCCTACTTCCATTTCTTTCTATTACACCATTGTACATTTAGTTTATTTATTTTTATCAAGGCATTATAATTCAAAAATCCACCCAATTACAACACTATAGTTTCAATTCTCTTATTAGCACGTTATATTCACAAAAAAAAAATCCAATAATATTAGCAAACATTGCTTTGTATTTGGATGACATTGCTAAAGTTAGATGGATTTTATTTATTCCATTCAACCCTATCATTTCCTCCAAAATGGAGGAGAATTTCACTTGTCAAATTTTAGTCCCTCACATTTTAGTTTTATCACTTTCTATCTTGTTTTATCAACTAAGTGTAATTTAAATGATATATTGTTATTGCAGGCACTCCATCTTCCATATTGACCCGAAAGTTTGTAGAATTTTGCATTTTGGGAACAGAAAACTTACCAAGAACCCTTCTCATGTATCTATCCAACAGCCTTTCATCTCAATCTGTATACTTTCCAACTGTTTTATGCAACTCTCCACATCTAAACAAAACTGTTGTCAACCACAATTTACAATATTCTGCATATGAAACCAAACATGAACCCCGAATACTCAACTCAAACGACTTCAATGACCTAATCAATAGTGGGTCAGCTTTTGGGTCTCCTTTTCTTCATGATGATCCGGTTCTTGACTGGATTGACCAACAACTTCTGAACCGTGGTCAGGGGAAACCGGTTCCTGGTGGGTGGTGTTTGGGTGAGTCGGGTGATGAGGTTTGTGGGATTTGGGGTGATGCTGATGTTTTGAAGCCGGGTTTGGGTGCCAAAAGGTTGGAGGAACGTCTTGTTGAGTTGCTGTCTAATGACGCTTTTTATTCCCATCAATGTATTTTTGAATGATGATGATGCACTGTTGTTTTTTTTTTTGTCTTTTTGTAGATTTACATTTGGAAAATTTTGTTGTATATTGGTATTTGGGTCAATTGAGTTACCTGCTTTTTTTATGTGAATGTTGTTTAGGATTTTAACTTCACTTTTCTGTTTGTTGAATTTCTCCATGAAAGCTTGGATCATTGTAGTCGTTAATGGCAGTTGGATAATTTCATTTTTTTTTTTTAGGCTGTGTTTGGTGCGCCACAACTAGTTGATAAACTAATTTATTTTTCGAGTTTTTTTATGTTGTCGTGTTTGACAAACCAAAAAATAGCTTATAAGCTAGCTTTTTGGAAAGCTACTTAGATCGGCTTTTTAGGATTTTTTTTTAAAATCTTTTTTCCAAATAGACTTTTAATTAATTATAAAAACAAATACTCTTCAATGTCTTTTTATGTAACTTTATATATTTCAGCAAATTTTACCAAACGTTATTTTTTATCAGTTAGTTTTTTAGCTATCGGCTGACTTTTTATTTCACAACTGACTTTTTATTTAACAGCTAGCTTTCAGCTAACAGTTAGTTTTTCAGCTAGTAAGCCTAACATAGTTTTAATGAAGTACCGAAGTTGTCCACTATCCGACATTTTTTTCGCTCTTATGATTATGATCATGTATTGTGTTATATATACTTTAGTGTTTACTGAATATGAAGAAGTGTAGATGAATGGATGAAAAAAGTACAATAAGGGCATATTGGTGATTTTATATAAGTTAATGACACAATTGTTAAACTAAACCGGTTTTAGGTTATCTAGTCGTCTTTTTGAATAGAAAATATGCAATGTAATCAAATATATGTAATATTCGTTTTGGGTTATCTTTTGTGAAATTAAAATTTAAGAAGGGTATGGTCATGGTGCTTGTGAAATGAAAACATATTCTTCAGAAGTTCAAGATTTCGGGACTGAACGGAGAGAAGCTTGTTCCACAAATTTTCCTGATTATTATTATTATTATTATTATTATTATTATTATTATTATGAATTAAAAATTTAACTGAACAATCAATCTTAATAGATGATTTAGAACTTGCTGGTCGATCCAAGGGAGCAATGAACATACTTACATTACATATTTAATTTTTAATTTTGCACCTATATTCTTTGATAAGCCAAATGTTTGCAATTTCTTCAACGAAAAGTATCACGATAATGTTTGCAATTGTTTGTCTAAAATGGATGTATAATGAATTTGATTGAAATGAGAGGGGGTTAACACTTAAGAAGACGACACATAAACAAAAGCTGATCCAAATGGTATCCACATCAGCCAAACACCATGTCCATATCAGCAAAGGTAGCCATCCACCTGGATCCCAATATCTTCTCCAGCTGGCATGACACATCAGCAAAAGAGCTGGACACGTGAAAAAAGACAAGTCCACTTGGACGTCAAATAAACAAAAACACTTTCAAGGCTCGTTTGGAGGATGTTCCAGATATAGCTGCACAGACAATGGATGAATATTCATGGACTTGATTGGTGTTATTACAGGAGGTTGTTTCCATTGCTGTGTGTTGCTTGAAATCCACGCATCAGCTTCAGCTTCAGGAAGAGAGCAAAAGTAACCTGTTATTTCCCACCTCCAATCAGATTGTTTACATTGAGATACAACAGCAGCATTCTTTGAAAAAGGTTCTGATAAACACAGCTTCACCAAGAATGATCGTAGCTCCATGTCCATCTTTTCCCCATCATAACACGACTGCTTCACATTAATCTTGAACATAAATCTCTCAACTGGAAATTTATCATCCTTGAAGAAAATAACTGCAACTCTCTCAACCAGCCCCTGAGACAAAAGTTACCTAAATCAATTCTCTTTTTCTCTCTCTCTCTCTCTCTCTCTCTCTCTCTCTCTCTCTCTCTCTACTTTTGATCTACATAATTAATTCTCACCTGTTGGATGTAAGGCTCAAGCGCATTGACAGAGTTGAGGATATAGTGATGAAGCTGAGGGTGTCGAGCCCTGTGAACCAATAGATTCATATATCTCCGCCTTTCAAAAGCACCTGTGTCATGTCATACATGAATTTTCAGACTTCAGTGACTCGATGAAATAAAAATGGAGGATCTTGAAAAGATTGCGAACCGGGTGGGTATATTCCTTTCAGGAAGATGATGGATGTAATGGCAACTTCAAGGAATTCAGCAACTACACGTGAAGTCTCCCCTGGAATTTAGATTTAAAAAAAAGCGAGGTGTTAGGGTTTATTTGATTAACAGATGGTTATCCAGAAAGAGTTGAAATCCATGAGACTTACTTTCCGGACATTCGTTTTCCTTGCAATCCATTTTGTTCTTCTCCCTTCACAGTATGTAACAAATGGATTGCTGGGTTTATGTAATGGTTTGACGCATTGACGTTCTATTTTTCATTCAACTCTGTCATTTTTTTTTTTCTGTAATGCATTGAATTCTAACAAGGTTCGATGAGGCTTATATAAAAAAAATCATTTACTACAAAACTTAATTTATGACATTTATTTAAAGATTAAAATGTTTCATTTTTCTTGTTGAAGAGGTCAGTGGCCATTTGTTAAGAACTAAAATCTCGATATGATAATGAACAAGGAATAACTCAAATGAAATGGACAAATTTGATTCAAATAACGAAATGGAGTGACACTTACATACATATAAGAAGGAAGAAACAGCAAAACAGGATCAGAAGAAACAGAAACAGCAAAACAGCCAATCGATTTCTCAGCAAAAACTCTTACATACGCCAGCAAAATTTCAGAAAGAAACAAGAAACAAGAAGGAGAAATCAGAAAATCTCGTATGAAATAGAGAAATTGGGAACAGAAAATCCCGTATGGAATGCAGAAATCAGGAACAAGAAGGAACGAAGGACGAAATAAGTAGCTGTTGTTCTCGTTTTCTCTATTTTCGTTGGAACTGGAAGTGAAGGCAGGAAGCGAACGGGCGATAGCTGTGTTCGACCGAGTGCCAAAGGGCTTTCTTTTGGGACCCAATCCATATTTGGACCCAATTCGGATTCAATCCATATTTCAGACATAATTGAAATGAACGTCGCAAGCATCTATAAGAATATTCACTTATTAGCTTCCTAATTAATATATATTTTATTTATTTTTTATTATGTATCATCTTATTATTCACCACTTGTCAACATAATGATTCTTTATTTCAAATTTCAAAATTTAAACTTATTACCCTAATTAAGTTAAATTAATAACAATAGAATAAAAATTAATATAAATTATAAAATGATATATTTCACATATATATTTAAATCAATAATTATAATTCTATATAACTAAAAAAATCTCTTAATTAATAAAATATTTAAAATAATTTATTTAAATAAATTGATTAATAATTTTAAGTTTTTACTACAAAAATTTAATAAATTTTATAACCGTGGTTTCCACGGGTTATAAACTAGTTTACTAATCAATCAAGACTTCTACAATTCTAATTCAAAATTCAAAATTAAAAGTCTAATATATTAATGAGACCCTTTCTTATCAATTCTAATTGAAACCCAACTTACCTACTATCTACTAAACAAATCTTTCAATCCAATTCAAATTCAAACCAAGTTTAATAGCCCTACACATTCATGCCCAGATGGACAGTTTGAATCCAAGACATGGGAGATTCATTAATGCAATCGATGGTGTATCATTATCAACCAATCAAACACAAATTGAGTTACATAGATGAGAGAACTAAGAAGTTGAGTTCTTTTATGTGCTTCTAAATTCTAAAAGAGTGTAACTGGATTCAAATACTGAAATAAAGCTTGAGTACGTAAACTTTTAAAAGAAATCATACAAAACAAGAACTAATCGCTAATATTCGATAAATTACTCGAAAATTGGAAATACTCACACAACCCGAGATTCCAACATATACAACTATGAAAACTTATTTGAAATTCTAAAACTGAAATTAGCTCTGAGATTGTGGAAAACGCAAGGTTAAGGCGATTTTGAATACTCCAAAATACAAAGACAAAGGGAAAAGAGCCAAAGAGTAGAGGAGATAGCGATTTGGAATAAAGAAAAGGTGAAAATGTAGCTGATTAGTAGTTGAGAGAGAGCTTAGATTAGATACAGAGACTAGAGTGGGGAAGATAGAGATGGAGACAGACAATACATGAAGATTGATCATCGCGCAAACCGTGGGCAATTGCTTGATTTGTCTTCGTTTCTGTTCTACGCGACTATATCCCTTTTTTTTTAGCACCTTTAATTCTTCAGTTCTGGGCTTCAATGCCAGGCTACCTATAGTCTGGGTCGGGCCAGGCTAGACAAATCTAAAGTTATAAAAGTTGGCCTAATGATATAACGCTAAATACTAAATAGAGGTCCACAAGGGCCGATTAAAACAAGTTTTCGGTTAAAAAATAGAATCGATGCTCCCCAGAGAGAGTTGTTCGGTCTGATAAACTGTTTGCCCAATAGCTCATAAAGCTGAGAGGACAACTCATGCATCTTTGGTGGTGCGAGGTGATACAACACTTTGGTAATCGGGGGCCGTATCGGGGATCAGGTTGATCTTGAACTCTACCTGCCTCACGGGAGGCACATCGGGTAAATCCTTCAGGAAAACTTCTGGAAACGCTCTAACAACTAGCACATTTGAAACCGAAGCTCTCCTCTTAACTCGAGTGTCAAACACATATGCGAGATAACTCGAACAACCATGGTGGAGATACTGTCTAGCCCTGGAAGCCGAACAAAAAGTTGAACCAATCCTGGTACCCTCTCTATAAATGGTCAGTTCTCCCCCACTTGGGGCTCAAAACACCACTAACTGCTTTTCAAAATCGATCACAACTCCAAACCTATTCAGCCGGTCCATCCCCACAATTGTGCATACATCCACCATAGGGATAGGAATCATGTCAATTGGGTAAGGCGCCCCGAATATCTTTAGAGTACAACTGCGAAACACGCTTAAAGCACAAACCTTGTGTTCGTTGGCGATGGAAACTCACAATGGGGACTCCAACTCCCCAATGCTTATATCGAAATCCCTACTGAAGGTTTAAGATACAAAGGATTGACTCGCATCCAAGTAAAAAAGCCCAAGTGTAAACAAGGAATTCACTAAGAAGGTACCTATCATGAATTTAAACATGAGTATACATAAATTAAATTTGACCAAATAGTAAATGAATACATACTAATAACAACAACACACGCCTCCCTGGCCTTCGGGCCTCAACCCTCCCCTGGTGTCCTTCTGTGATCCTAAGGGTAGTCGGAGCTGGTGCCTACACCTGTCTAGCAGCGAGCAATGGAAAACCGACATTCACATGGCCAACCTAATCACATTGATAGCAAATCATAGTACTCGGTGATGGATTCTGCTGACGACACTCCCTCGCAATATGGCACTCCTTTCCATATTGATGGCACCCAGTCACTGACCGACACACTTCCTCGTGCATTCTCCCACACTTGCCACAAGTACGACCCCTCTAGGCTCCATATCATGAATCAGCGTGCTTGAACTGCTTCGATGTTGGCTACGTCTGAACTGGGGTATGGATTTTCTCTTTAGTCTGGGTCTCAATCTTAGTCTCTCTCCTCCAAGAAAATAACTGAAGCTCGAAGAGGGAACAATACTTTTGATTCGCCACAAATCTCAGTATTGAGCATGCTCACGTAGCAGGACATCTAAACCTGCTCTGAGGCAGCATACTCAAGTCAGAAAAGAGCTCTCTTAAGCAACATCTTGATGATCTCCGTCACCGACTCTGTCGTCTGCTTCAAGGAAAGGTACTCCTAGGCTAACCTATCCCTCTTCACCAATGGAAAATAATCAGTGCAGAACATATCAATGAACTGCGACCTTCTTCGTAGGAGAATAAGTACCAGTCACCAACTTCCACCAACCTTCTGAAACACCCAGAATCTTGAGGAACAATTGTTGGGAATAAATTCCCTTTTGAGGATTGGACACGATGTGCTGGAGGAACCAACATGGCATGTCTAGATAAGAAGAAGCGCGACTTTCATTAAGGTCAACACGACATGTTGCCTCTTGGAACACGGGGTGTTGACGGATGAATGAAAACTCTAATCTTCCGGGTTTTTGTTCTCTATTTAAAAGACTAAGGAGGCTAGGGTTTGTCCATCCTTAGCCCCTCAAGCCCTGAAAGAAATCTTAATCATCTTCCTCCATTTTTAGAGCTAGTTTGGTGCTTTTTAAAGCTAAGAAGGAAGAAGAAGGAGGAAGGAAACAAAGATCAAGCAAGCAAGTCCCCATTCTCCACCATGGCACTCTTTTGGACCTTCGTAAGTGTACAAGACTCGATTTTTATCGTTCAAGTTGTTATATCTTTAGTTTTGTTCCTTTAGCTTCTTATTCTTGAATAATGGAATGGTTAGACCTCATAAAGTTGGCAACTTTATGAATCTCCAAGTCAAGAGGGGTTAGTAGTGTTTTAGATCTGAATTATAATCAAGTTTTGATGTCATGCTTAGAGATTAGGTCATGAATCTCCATTTTGACCTAAAATGGGTTCAAGACATGCATTAGACATGTATGTCTATAAAGCACCAACCTTTTGGATGGTTTTGTTGTTCGAATCACTTCTAGAAAGGATGAACTTCAAACTTTAAGGATTAAATGCTTGTTTGTTAAGCTCTTACATTATTAAGCTTTATGGATTGAGTTTTGAACCTTTTGGGTAGTCCCAATGGATAAAGTTGGAAAATTTATTCTTCTGAACCACATTATGGACTATATCTAAGTTTTGGAGCTCTTAGAATAGGTGAAAAAACTTAAGGTATTGAGCCATTGAAACTCAGGCAAACACGGCATGGTGTGTAACGCCCGCATATCTGGGCTAGTCAATTTAGAGATAATAGGGGTCGAAAATGAATTTTTGACAAAAGATTATTTAGAATAAATAATCTTAACCAAGTTGTAGAATACGTCTCAAGGGTTTCGTACATATAAAGAACGCCAAAATCCGAGTTATAACGAAGAAGTTATGGTCCGTCGAAGTTTTACGGCAAAACCGGCACGACACCAGGAGACATAAATAGTGAATTAACGATGGAGGACTTTTTAGCCTTAGAAATATAAATAAAAGTTTTATTATACATTAAACCAAGAACATAAAAAAAAAGACCGCCCAAATTTGACTTCGTATGAGGAAGTTATGAATTTTCTAAGATTTGGCTTAGCAGTGCACAGCCCGAAACTCGAATTTTAGATCGAGCAGTTTTTGGCCTACACGACCTAAATCAGAATTGAAGATCTCATTAATAGGAACTCAAAAGTAAAAAGAAAGACGAAAACAAAGTCCGTATGTAGAAGTTATGAATTTTACGCGAACATTTAACATTATAATCTTCTCGTACTATTAAATTTAAGATCGGTCGAGAATTAGCCGACAGATTCAAAATAAAAGTTGTAGATATTATTTTTACCTACATGTAGATATAAATAACATCAAAAACGGAACTCGTATGTGAAAGTTACAGATTTTAGAATTCGAAAGTGTGTTATATGAAAATGGGTGACATGGCACAATCTTGGCCATTGCTTTCTCCCCAAGTCTTGCCACCAGATGGTAACATGTGGCACAAAGTTCAGCCATATTTCACCCTATAAATAGAACCTCTCCCACCCTCATTTTTTCACACCTTTTCCATTCTTTCTTCTCTTTACTCTCTCTCTAGAACCTCTCTCTAGCCTCGAAACCCCCTGAAAAGCCTAGGGAACCTCCCTAGCACGAGGCGGAAGCCCCGGAGTGCTCGACGGCTCCAAGAAGAAGAGATTTTCGGCTCGGGAACGCCGCTCCAAGCAAAGCCCGGTTTTCTATAAAACCCGTTGTTTCATCGAATGAAATTATTTTTAAGAAGCGAAGCGCTATCTGAGTTCGGAATCACCACATTTTCAAGTAAGTGCATGGTCCCTTTCATCTTACACATAGATATGAAGTATTTTATATAAATTACGTGCTGTGAGTGCATAGTTACTTTCATCTTACACATATATATGAAGTATTTTATATAAATTACGTGCCAAGTGTG